CTTTTAGCATCACAAAGACTAGTTTTATAAAACAGGAGTCCCCATTTCCCACCCATGGACTGGTATTGATTTGGCCCATGGCCTGTTAAGAACCAGGCTGCACAGTAGGAGGTAAGTAGCAGGTGAGTGGAGCTCCACCTCCTCTCAAATCAGTAGCAGCATTCGATTTTCATAGCAAGGCGAATTGTGCTGTGAACTGCATGAGTAAGGGATCTAAGCTGAGCACTCCTTATGAAACTAATGCCTGATGATCTCCCCTTCCATTCATAGAAAAATTGTCTCCCACGAAACTGGTCCCTGATACCAAAAAGGTTGGGGACTGCTGTTATAAAGTATAAGCTAGTCTGCTAGTCTATGATAACAGATAGAACTAAGAGTCTCTTGTACAAGAGTGACACCATTCTAGCACCAGGACTTACTGTTACACACTATAATATTCTTTCTACCAAAGTCCATAAAGAATAGGACAAAGCAAGCCCTGGCAGGGTGCTTATACTCAGTGAACAGAATATAAATAGGAGAAGGAAAGTTGAGTGAAAGAGAAATGGAAGGAATGGAAGGGAAGGAGGGAGGAAAGTTGGCCATGTGAAGTTTTTCAAGGTACAGGCAGGTTATACTGGAAGACAGTGGGTGGAAACTATAAAATGAAGGCTAATCCATATTTAGAGCAATAAATTTTATGAAATGTTAATTGGGTTTACTCTCAGAACTCCCCCTTTTCATTATTGTGTTTAATACCAAACACTAAAAAATTAATCAGGAAATTCCATCTGGCCAACAATTTCTATTTATGAAATTTATTTTGCTTCAGAAGATTAAAAGCAATCCTCTGAGTGAATTGAGTATTCCAAGACAGCCCCAAGCAGCCCTGAACAAAGACTCTAGAGTGCCATTTTCTTTTATATGGTAACATTTTTGAGTCACTTTCAATCTATAAATAAACTTGCATTTTATAGAAATCCCTTTACAGAAAGCAGCATCATGCTGAAATTCAACACATAAGACTTCTTTTAAAAGTGTTTTGATTTTTAAAAATTAATTATGGGCCCTAGATAACACAGAAGTTATATCTTGGCTTACAAGTTTTATGTTTCTTAACAACTCTCTAAAACAATTATTCTACATCTGTGCTTTAAGTGCAAGTTTAGTACAACTGCAATCTTTATTGTTAATTGAAAATTTTGTCGATTATGGTTGCCCTGTTCTATAGTAGAAAAAATGAAATCAGTAATAATCTGAGATCAGGAATTAATGTTATTTATCTTTTAAAAAATGTGTTTGTTGCTCCTATGTTTAGATGTCTTATGTTTCCCTAAATGTAACTCAAGAAGTTATCTAATACAGAATGAACCTTTGAAACAAAAGACCTCCCTTTAAAAGCATATATAAGAGAAAAGAAAGGAAAATTGGGGGGCAATGACTTCTATCAGAGACATATACAACTGTAAATTCATGAAACAATAACATTATGAATAATGAAAACTTTGGGCCTAGATATATTTGTCCAACTGAATTTGTTAGGTGATTTTATATCAAGGAGAACAGAGAGGCGTTCTTGATACAGATTGGACTTCTGAGAAACCACACACTTGGGAAGCATTATGGTCTTTACCTTATATAAAAAGACATAGAGGGCATGATATAGAACAGTAGTAGGTAGCATTTAGAAATTGTAGGCCTCAGAAAGTAAGCAGTAACTGCTCTTTCAAGAGTATGTAGTTTAAGAGTATAAGAAGAGAGGAAGTGTTTCAAGGAAGAAATTGATTTCTGCCTCTAGAGTAATTGACAGTGATTAAATGCCTAGGTACTTTAGGTTCCTGCTCTAGAAAAAAAAAATCTTTGCGTGATTTTCTCCTAAAAATTCCTTTGCAGAGAAGTGGAGTAACCAGAGACAGAACACAAGACCTCCGTTACATGACTCTTGTAATGGAAACTAATTGATTTTCCGTAATTTGGCCTGTCTTGCCACATTATATTTCAGACAGAGTGAAAATTACTACTTCCAAACTTGCCATTTCTTGACAATTGAAAATGAATAACAGCATTTTTTGAAAGAAGAAAGAGTAAACACAACGTTTGACTCAATGTGCCATAGAAATCCAACCTAAAACACACACTAAATTTTATTTTTCAACTTCATGGACAACTTCTATTAACTTACACAGTGAGAAGCAATGTTCATTTGATCCATTGCACAGTGGAACCAATGCAAAGGGATATTATCACTCTGAAATAAGTGATACCTTGTATCTCTATTCAGTAAAGAGAACACAAGAGCATAAGGACAAGCCTAATAGAAATTCCTAGAAAAAGATAAACAATGTAGGCCAATAGCAAAATATTCGTGGTCTCCTTGAGTGAGCTACTATTCTAGTAGCCAGATTTGATGTAAGAGGGATGGTTACATGGCAGCTAATGTCTTCTAGTCATAGAATCCAAGAGAAAGGCCTCAGGCATGTAAAATGATGGCTGGCCTAGAGAACTAAGCAAGACAAATATTTTCTTTCATAAACTTAAGATTCTTCATTTTGACATAGGCTAAAGACTCTAACTCTGAGAGATTGTAAAATGTCAAACTCATTCTCATAAACTGTGAGAACATTTCATGAGATTGTGTGAGTTTCATTGTGGTAAGCAGAAGATAAATGCTTAATAAATCTACATAAAATGTTAAAAATCATGGGTCTGAATCATTGCAAAATGTTCCCCAGAGATACCATACCAATATACTACGGCAGCCAAGATTTGAAAAAAAATAACAGCTTTCGAGAATGAACACAAATAGAATGTTAGGCTTGATAGGCTCTTGTTTGCTAGAGTGGCATTTTATATATTCTTACTTTCCTTTGTCTTTTGAAAAACACAGTATCCAGTCCCATTCTTAACTCCATTTATTTTCATTTTTACTAAATTTCAGGGGGTGAAAATGCCTTTTAGTAGCTAAGTTGATCTAAGTGTAGAATCGACATCAACTGAAATCACTGTTGGGCCAAGTCATCAAAATCTTATTGTTGAATCAGATCTAGAGTCAGACGCTAAGGAGACATGAATAATGTCTGTGCTGGTCTTTCGCACTCCCTAGCTCCCTAATTAGTATTCCTGAGTTGCTGGGAGGTAGTTGTGTGTTTTTTGCTCTCTCTCTCTCTCTCTCTCTCTCTCTCTCTCTGCATTTGTCTCAGTGTTTGTTTCATTTGATTGCTGCTTGATTTTAATTCAATCTGGCACCTCTTCATGGAGCACTAAATTTCCTCTCAATGGCTATACATTAAACTGTGGTGCGCCCTGAAGGCACTGCCACCAACAAGATTTCAGCCATTATTGCTTTGTGCAGCCCATCTATTCTTGGTTCAAGGGCAGCCTAGATAGAGAGATACCAGTCCAGATAAATGCAGGTAATGACACACTTCCTTGGCAGGATGTGCAAGATAAGCCTTTCTGTTTTCTCCTGTACCACTCTCCTGGACTCTGAAACATCTTCCTGTCAATGATCAAGCAGGAATGCATTCACTGAGAGAAAGTTCTCATCAAAGTCCACGTGTCTTGGTGGTGTCGTTCTTTAACGTCATAGGTTTCCTCAACATCTTTAGGCTTAAGATAAGAACAGTCATCTGACACACACACAAAAAAATCTATTTTGAAACCAAGCGCTCCTAATTTTTATTTGTGCCTGATTGTGAATTATGATATTGTTTAGAAGTGCTTCTTTTGACCCCAAAACACACAAGAGGCCAGCAAACATATGAAAAAATGCTCAACATCACTAATCATCAGAGAAATACAAATTAAAGCCATGATGAGATATCACCTTATACCAGTCAGAATAGCTATTATTAAGAAGTCAGCCAGGCTCAGTGGCTCAGCCTGTAATCCCACGCCTTTGGGAGGCTGAGGTGAGTGGATTGCCTGGGCCCGCGGGTTCGAGACCCGCCTGGGCAGCGAGACCTCATCTCTACAATAAATCAAAAATTAGCCAGGCATGGTAGCGCACATTTGTAATTCTGGCTACTCGGAAGGCTGAGGCGGAAGGATTGCCGGAGTCCAGCAGGTCGAGGCTGCGGTGGCCGGCAGAGGCCACTGCACTCCAGTCTGGACGACAGAGTGAGACTCCAACTCAAAAAAAAAAGAAGTCAAAGAACAACAAATGTCAGCACAGTTGCTGAGAAAAGAGAATGCTCATTCAGTGTTGGTGGGATTGTAAACTAGTTCAACCTCTATGGAAAACAGTATGGAGATTTCTCGAAGTATTAAACATTGAATTACCATTCAACCCACCAATTCCACTACTAGGGATCTACCAAAAGTCAAAGAAATAATTATGAAAGCTATGTGTACTTTATATGCAAATCATTATAGAAAGATGCCTGTACTTATATGTTCATTGGAGCACTATTCACAATAGAAAAATCAAGGAACCAACCTAAGTGTCCACTGATTGACTGGATAAAGAAAATGTGGTATATATGCACTGTGGAATACTATGCAGCCATAAAAGGAATGAAATCTTGTCCCTTGCAGCTACATGTCCCTTAGAAACAACAAATCAAACACTGTATGTTCTCACTTACATGCAGGAGCTAAATGACCACAAAGATGGAAATAACAGATACTGGGGACATCAATAACAGGGGAAGTTAGGGTTCAGAAATTACCTAGTGGGTACAATGTTCACTATCTGGGGAACAGCCCACCTGAGACCCAAACCCCACCACTACACAATATGTCCATGTAACAAACATGCAGGTGTGCTCCCTGAATCCAAAATAAAAATAAAGAAATAAAAATGAGTGCTTATTCTGCCCTGTAAGTGCTTTAAACAAAAAGATAGAAAAAAGAAGTGTGTGTGTGTGTGTGTGTGTGTGTGTGTGTGTACGTACGTTAGAGAACGCTGTAGGTCAAATACCCAATTCCAAAACTCAAAAGGGAGAATTTCTTGGTGCATAGCTGGGATCTAACCCCATGCAAAACACAATGTACAGGAACCTGGGGTTTCACATGTCCTCCCACCCACGACTTACAACACAGGAGTATTGTCTTTCAAGTAAGGGTGATTCAAGGTGACGTATGGAGGTACAGCTTCTTTCTTAGACATCATTCCCGGCAGTTCCCAGGGATAAGCCAGATATCTAGAACAGAAAATGCCTGGGAAACAGCAAAACATTCCCTGAGGACAGACAGAAGAAGGAAGAACATTGCGAGCTTACAGTTTATGGGCCAGGCCTAATAGCAGCAATGTGCAGGCCTCACCTTCCCCACATGGCACTTCATCTCTACAGAGACATCGAACAGGGCATTCCATTTCCTGGCACTGGAAAGGAAAAAAAGACTTATAGATTTCTTTGCCTCAAAGCAATCTCCTAGAGAAAGCAATTGTTCCCTCCACATCAGTATTTTATCAGAATCAAGACTTTAATGGTAAAATAAAAGGAAATGAATCCAGCTCTCCCAATTGCTCAGCATGCATATATTTTCCCAGTCTTTCTTTTTCCCCTAATGGCACCTAACTGGATCTTAAAATGTGGTTTTCCTAAGAAAGAACTTTATGTTTTCAGGATGCTTTTTCAAAAACGAGTTTCTCTAGTCCCAATGTTCTCCCTACACGAAAATAATGCTGTCAAATTTTGTCCTATGTACATTATCTTAAGGGAATTTTTTTGTTGTTATGGTTGTTTAGTTTTATTTTTTGAGAATTTAGACTGACCTAACCACCTTCCCATCCCTACCCACAAGGCATAAAATTTCAAGATAGCAGGCTGGGTCCCACAGCCACAGAACAGATAGAAATTCAAGCCAACAAAGAGATCAAACTCACCAACTGTGCTGAGAAATACTAAGACAACCATCCACATACAGCTTTGTTAGACTATAAGAAGTTTTGTGTTTATTAGCCTGCTATATAATTTTAAAGCATTGCCTTTGTTTCCATACGGCAAAAGTAGTTAATTAAAAAATAGGTTAGTTGACACAATTTTTTTTTTTGAACAGGAGTCTCACTGTGTTACCCAGGTTGCAGTACAATGGTACAATCAAGACTACCACAGCCTCGACCTGCTGGGTTCAGGCAATCCTTTTGCTTCACCCATCCAAGTGGCTGGGAAAACATGGTGCCACCATGTCTGGCTGATTTTTAAATTTATTGTAGAGACAAGGTCTCATCAAGTTGTCCAGGCTGGTCTCGATCTCGGGGGCTCAAGTGATCCTCCTGCCTTGGCCTCCCAAAGTGCTGGAATTACAGACATGAGCTATTGTGCCTGGCCTACTTACCACAATTTTAAGATTTAAAAAATGTACACAGATAGATTTTGAGATACAGTGCCATGATAGTGAAAACAATCTCCCTTTAATTTTTCTGGAAACTTTAATGTTTTTATCAAAAGTGTTTACCTCATTTAAAAAAACAGAAACTTAGAACCACCTGTATTAATTATTCCCTTACTTTGCACCCATGTTATCAAGAAGTTATAAATCCTAAAACACTGGGTTTTTATATCATTTAACACCACAAGCTAGTGAAAGGATGAAAAAGGAAATGTTTACAGTTAAGCACAACTTAAATTTGAGGGGAAAAAATGACTTGTGTTAATAAAGAAACATGTTCTTATGGATAGCTGGGAATTTTGAGTCAAATACAGGGGTGAACCAGTCTGTTCCAGCTCTGACATTCAAATACCCACTGAAAAATACTAAACAAAGCCAAGCAAGTTATTTTAGACATACTTTCTAACTATTGCCATTTATAAGTACCAACTCGAAATCCTGCCCTGGCTTACATATCTTTAAAACAACTTGTTCTAGATCTATTTGTACCATGTCGATTATGTGGATAAAATAAGAGCTGAGAGACCCTCCCCAAGAAAATGTTGTTTTTGCTTGAAACTCTGTCCTGCTACCTTCTGAGCTCCTTGAAAATGAAAATCTCTGTGTCTTCCAGGTGACAGCCACCTTGTCGGTGCAACCAAAATAGCTCTCTCGGCTAGAGAGCTGTCTGTTAGTAAGAGTTCTGACATATCAGATTTGGCATGCAGGAGGAAGGCAGGAAATGGTCCCACAGAAGGAGGGTCAGTGGGAGCACCTGATTAACTAAGGAGCACGGCAGAGGGAGTACTTGGAAAACAGTGCTCTCCTAAATACGAGATCAACCACAAGAAAACCAACAAGCATTTCAAGCAATGACAGTCTTGGGGGAGAGGAGAGCCAAAGAGATGGTTGGAAAGTCCCTATTTCTACCATAAGCTCTTGTGGGATTTTGAAAGGGCAATGATAAAATAAAAGATGCATCAGACTAGTCTCTATTTGTGAAAGGAAGCAAATACACTTACATGCATGGGATGTTTATCTCCCTCCAGCGGTGGGGTGGGGGAACTTCGAAGTGATAGCCTGTCACTGCAAACTACAGCTTCATAAACGAAGATCAGTTTCCATTACAGTGCATTTTGCCCATAAAATTAGGATTTTCATTAGGTGTGATGCTTTCCCTTATGGTGGTCTTCAAGACATTCCCAACCTTCCATGGGAGGGAGTGAAATACCTCCTAAGTATGCTGATTACTAGTGGTAAGCTAGCAAGGGTCCCCCTCTCTTTTTGGCTAGAGATACAGGATTCCTTTCTTCTTTGTAGAACTCTAGCAAAGGTGAAACAATGCTGTGCTCAGAGGAAAATCTCCTGACTCCTAGTCTGGGCCAGAAAAACTCAAAGAGCTAAATGAGAAACAGAAAGCGAGCTTACCTACAGTGAAGGTGGAAAACATGGAAACTCAGAGGAGGGACGCTGGTAACAAATCTAAAAGTGATCTGCATCTGATATAAGGAGTGATAATCAGAGATAAATTTGAGAATAAGTCCCCACCTCTACCTTGCAGTCGCTGTCATTTTCATCCTTGGTCGTGCGAAAATAATTCTGGTGTAGCATTTGAATCAGTGATGGTCGATGAAAGAGAAAAGATACAAAAAGTAAATGGTGACAATTGTAAGGACAGTAAAATTTTCTTTTTCCACATGTTAAATTATCTGATATTATAACTGTACAAGAGTATTAATGGAAATAGATCAGTGGTTACAGCCATTTAATCAACAGGTTATTGATCAATAACTAAAAACCTGTCAATATGAAGTATACAGAGTATGCAGTTTTTCCCCTGGCTTTATACTCAGAGTTAGGCATCACTGATGCCTGCTTGACTTCTCCTCTTGGATATGTCTCCAAGGCAACCAAAGTCATATGTTTCCCTGCGAATCTGTTTCTTTTCTGGTTTTCTTATCTCAGTGAATAACTTCATCAGTCACTCAGTTGTGCAAGCCAAAAATCCAGGAGTTACTTGACCCTCCTAGTCCTCCACTATTATATCCAATCCATCACTGAGTCTTTCAATCTTACCTCCTAAATCTATCTCAAATAGATCAATTTCTCTTTGCCTCTACCATCACCCTAATTCATCATCTCTCTCCTAAACAATCACTACTCCAAAGGGCATCCACTCCAGCCTTTGTCAAATGCATTCACCACACTGCGCTATTTCATTCAACAAATATTTTTGAGGACTCTATTTTGTACTCTGGAAAGAATTCACTCTGTAGTGAAAAAGACAGAGAAGGAGCTTGTGGAAACAGAGGTAAACATCAGATAATCAGAAGCACTATATAGAGAATTAAAGTTAGGGTGATAAAATAGTGAAATGGTGGAATAGCTATTCTAGACTGTGTGTCCAAATAAAAGAAATTAGTGGGAGTTTTAACAAGGGGTGTGAGTTTTATGTGGGGAATATAAAGGAAGTCCGCCAGGATGATGGTATCTGCTATCAAGGCTTCCTAGCATATAAAGAGAGTGTTTTAGATATTGGCCAAGAACAAAAAAGAGAGCAGGTAAAAATGCACATGAAGACCCGGAGCGATGGCTCAAGTCTGTAATCCCAGCACTTTTAGAGGCCGAGCGAGAGAACTGCCTGAGCCCGCGGGTTCGAGACCAGCCTGGGCAACTTGGTGAGACCTCGTCTCTACAATAAATCAAAAAATTAGCGGGCGTGGTAGCACGTGTTTGTAGTTCCGGCTACTTGGAAGGCTGAGGCGGAATGATTGCTGCAGTCCAGCAGGTGGATGCTGAGATGGCTGTGAGAGTGCCACTGCACTCCAGTTTGGGCAATGAAGTGACACACACGAACATTCAGTCTAGGTCTGTTTGTCTCCACGTACCTCTGCCAACACACATGGAAGTATCTTATTTTGTTCATCTATTTTCTGTGTGTCTCCTTTCCCTAGAATATAAGATCCATTAACATAGAAGCCACAGTTGTGGTCTCTGCAGTATCTCCAGTGCCTAAGATCTATGCCTGGCACACATCAGGCATTTGTTGCATGAAGGCACAAATTGCTGTGCGGAGTGGGAAAGACAAAATAACTGAGTGGGTTTTGAGGTTCAGGAAGTCCTCGTGGAGATGTCAAGGTCAATTACTCCAGCTCCAAGGTTAACTGTGCTATAAAATCCCGGCCAGGCTTCTCAGCACTGACTCTCTGGCACCAAGCACTCACACTCAAACTCACACACACGCTCAAGCCACAAACCTCTCCAACTGCCCGCTAGGAGGAGTCACACCTCCCAACCCAGAAGCCCGCCCACTCTCTCCCCGATTTCTCCCCCCCACCCACACCTCCAGGGTTCCGGCAGTCTTCGAGTCGCAATGCTCGCCGGGAATAGTAGTCTTCCTGTCCGAGCCTCTCGAGCGTTTGTACATTTCCAGAACTACGCTTCCCAGGGAGCCTCGCGGCAGAGGGTGACTGAGTCACCTGACCAGGACGCTGGCGGCGTAATGGCGGCGCCCATGCTGCGCTGGGGATGTCCAGGGAGACGTTGGGGTTTAGCCTGGATTGACGGCGGTTCTCGCCACGAAAGAGGGGCCCCGACTGGGTCCACATCCAACCGGATTAGGGGACAGAGTTCAGTGGCTCAGCAACCCCTCCACACGGCCCAGAAGCTGAAGAAAGGGTATTCTATTTCATACCATTTCTGCCCACCTAAGTGTGAGGTAGAGCCCGCGGGACTGGGTAGATGGTGGCCGTTATAGCCCAGCCTTTAGACGTTTTGGTGGACGGGAGGGTGGTGGGTTATAACCTGGAGTCCCAAAACCTAAATAAAAACACAAAATAGGTCCTTTGTCAGCCCTGCCCTCATATATAAACCAGTGTTTTCAAATAGGTGGATTTGGGGGAACTTACGAGTGCAAAATAGCAGAAATTTTCTTGAATCGAAAGCTGCACAGACGGAAGATTGGGTTCAGTTATCTTACTAATAGCACCAGCAGTGGGTACAGTGACATTAAAAGCGGAATCATATCTAGCTACTATGGGCTGGCAGTGTTCTAAAGGTGGAAAGGGAGCCTTTACCTACAAGCTCTGAGTTGTGGTGGCTTAGTGTTATTAGTTAGAAAACACTAGCTATCTGTGGAGGCGTTTTATGTTGAACGTGTGTGTCTAGACCTAGGAGGTTGCAGCCAACAAGAGATATTCCCTCTGGTTATATAGAGATTTTTGTTTATTTTGCTAGACATCCCCTGAACAGCTGCTTGTGCTTCACTCTATAAGAGTTAAATAGCTTCTTTTAAAACACAGAAGCATAAGGCACGATTCTAATATTTTGTTTATCCTTGAGGTTGGTTGGCGTTATTTTTGTTTTTCAGTTGGAGGAACAGAGGGAAAATGTCTAGAAGCATTCAGTTTCTGTACTTTTCATAAATTAGATTGTCTCCTTGTGATTGGAAAGTATATTTTTCTCTCATGTAATGGAACTGCAAAAGTACTTTGAATAATGCTTTAGTGTGCAGAATTTCTGATGAGTTCTTAGTTTAATTCCTTTCTCTAATAAGCTGTGTTTCCAAACTTTAAAAATAAAGAATAATTATTTCTGCAGTACTTAGACATAGAACTTCATGTATTGAAGTGATTGAAACAAAACAAAATGATGAAAATAAAAATCTGAATAGTAATAAAATTGCTGGGAGAAGAGCAGGAGAGGAACATACATGGATTTTACAGGGAATAAGCACATTTATAAGAATCTGGGGAGACCTGTGTACAAACCTAACAGGGTAAGAATGGCCAGATAAGAGAGGTTATTAAAACATTTAAAAGTTTCTTAGATTTGATAGCAATCAAGCATAAACAGAGTAACCTGAAATTAGATCTCAGGAATTGGAAGTGATTTGGGGGACCCTCCCCCCAAAAAAGCTATGTCTAACATTTTAATGTTTCCCTTTGCACAAAATTTTCATTTAGTGGAGAACTATTATGGCTGTGTCACTCTTGTTATTATATTTGTATACCATTATTATAAAATTAATTCAAAACATGATTGAGAATTTCCTTTTTTTGGTAGAAACTTGTGGAACTAGTTATTTACTGTTATTTCTCTAGTAATAGAATCCTGCCATTTATGTTAATTGCAAATAATGTTTGAAAGGTCAACTTTCCTCATTTACTGAGTGATTAATTGAAAAGGTATGGTTAATTTTTAAAATGTCACTTTTCACTGAAGTTAGCCAAGCAGTTGTCACCCGATACTCATTTCTAAATTGTTTTAAAGTGCCAGTTGTTCCTTTCTCTACCGCTTCCTGTTTGTACAGTGAATCTCCTAATGCCAGTTGTCAGTGAATTTTAGTTTGCCAATCTCCTTGTAGTTCTTCATTATAAATTATTTTTTATTTAGTCACCAATAAAATATGACACATTTTTAAATGTGAGGATCTAAGTTATAATAAGTTAAAAGCAAATAGGAAATTATCATTGTGGTTTAGACTTATAGAAATTCATGTTCGTTGACAACTGTAACTATTCTTAACTGTTATCTCTTTTTTTTTTAGTGAACACAAATGGGCTGCTGTGGTAGGTTTGGAAATTCATGCCCAGATTTCCTCCAACTCTAAACTTTTCTCTGGAGCTCAAGTCTGTTTTACAGCACCTCCAAATTCTTTGGTTTCTTTTTTTGATGCATCTCTTCCTGGAACTTTGCCGGTAAGGTTTTTATTTAATTCTGTTTTTATTAGAAAATGTTTCTGTTTCATTGAACATAGATAATTATTTCTTCTTTGTAATATCTTGACATGACTCTTAGGAAATACTTGCTTAGGAAATTTGAACAAAGTGAGATGGACTAAATGTTTTTTAAAGACCCATTGCTATAATTCTAAATGTGAACATACCCATACATGTATTCTCTAATTTCATAAACATTTTAGAATGCCTACTGAATGCCAGACACTGTGCTATGAACTGGTTCATAAATATAGCAAAGATCTTTGCCCTTGAGGAGTTCAAAGACTAGTAGAGGAGATGTGTCTTACAAACAGACTATAGTATGATTCCTTCTGTGAAGGTAATGTGCAGAGGATGGTTTTAAAACCCAGAGAAGGGACACCTAATTCAGTAAATGGAAGGACTGTTCTCATATATTGAGGTAGAAATACATTTGGTTAAGGAAGGGTTTCTGGAAGAGGAGGTGTCTGGGCTATTTGAGAAGCAAAGTAGCAGGCAGATAAATGGAGGTGGAGGAGGAGTCTAGTCAAAGGAAGCAGTATATATCACATGATATTATAGCGTAAGGCCAATAATGATTGTGGTTGTTGCAAATCAAGAAACTGTCAATGATGAAGAAAAGAGTCAACTACAGCCGGGCTCGGTGGTTCCGCCTGTAATCCCGCGCCTTGGGAGGCTGAGGTGAGTGGATTGCCTGAGCCCGCGGGTTCGAGACTCGCCTGGGCAACTTAGTGAGACCTCATCTCTACAATAAATCAAAAAATTAGCCAAGTGTGGTAGCACGCGCCTGTAGTTCCAGCTACTTGGAAGGCTGAGGCGGAAGGATCGCCGGAGCCCAGCAGGTCAAGGCTGCGGTGACCGGGAGCGTCCACTGCACTCCAGTCTGGGCAGCAGAGTGAGACTCCAACTCAAAAAAAAAAAAAAAAAAAGAAAAGAAAAGAGTCAACTACAATATTCAGTGAATTAACTACTCTGTTCATTTAACTACTCATTTTTACTTGACCCCATAGAATGACTGGGCCCAGTATATCCATTAGCAAGACTTTTTAGCATATATTTTTATGTAATTGGCTGAATTTTGAAGAAAACGATGGAAGTAACAATGTAACTGCTTGATCTAATAGAGAGCATATGATCTGTCCAGAGCCTGTAGTTTCTGTGGGAAGGGACAGAGATTGTCATGGGTGAATTCATTCTCTCAAACATTTCAATACGAGTGAAAGCTGGTCAAACTGAGCACTGGCAGGCTTGTAGAGGCAGAGTGGAAGATTCTGGGCAGCACCTCTAGTGTGCTTGCCTTAATTGGCTCTGGTTGCACTGGGGAATGTCTCTGTCTTAAAACATTTTTCCTTGTGCTTTTTGTCACAGAGGACTCACATCCCTGCAAACAGTAATCCAGAGTCACCTTTGATTTGCTGTTGGGTCTCTCTGGGGAAGACAGACATGGCAGTGCATCTCTTTCTCTCACTGTCTACCCAGGGCTTATACTGGTCCCTTCTCTCCTGCTTCTTCTCCTCCCTCTGTCTAACTACTCCTTCGCATATGACTGTTTTCCTCCACTCAGTCCTGAATTGTTGGTTTCTTGTGCTCCATTCCTTGGCTCTCATTTCATTTGTTCCCTGTGTTCCCCTGAGTAATCTTTTCACTCTCAAATAAAGCTCCTAACTCTCTTCTAGGTAACAAGTTTGTATTTCTAGTGTCCTAGTGGACATTTCCATCTGAATGATTCATCAATATCTTAAATTCAGCAGTTACAATATTAAGCCTATTACCTTTTATCCCTGCCTCCTTATTCCTTTGGCTGACAAAGGAATAAGCCAACAAGAGGAAAAAAAATAATCTGCTCAGAAATGGATGTTAGAGAAAAATGTGTGTGTGTATGTGTATTTGTGTCTATGTCTATGTGATATATACACATATATGTCAAAGAAGGAGCAAAAATCAGTAGAAAAAGGATGATTTACTCACTTGTTAGTTTTGAAAACATTGGTTAACTATGGAGAAAAAAAATATTTTTAGCTCATTTCATATATCAAAATAAAATTCAAATATATACATAATATAAGTTCAACGTAAAATTAAACCTAAGAAAATATAGGAGAATATTCATTTGTCCGTGGGTTGGGGAGAAACTTTGTAAGCATAAAAGCAAAAGGAAAACTCATCAGGATGAGATTTGACTACTTTATTCACCCAACAAACATTTATTGACCCACTAATTCTTTTAGGAATCTATCCTTGGAAAATAATACAAAATGTGAGTGAAGACTTATATGCAAAGATGTGTATATAAGCATACACATCTATCTATATATATATTTATAATAGTGTAAAATTGGAAGCAACCAAAATTTCTCAGTGATGAGGGAATGACTGTGTCAATTATGATACTTCTGCACAGATCATTATGAAGCCACTAATGGTGTTTATGAAGAATTTTTAGTGACATAGGAAAATGCTAAAGAAATTCTAATGAGATGAGTAGAATTTGCATGAAGATTACTGAATCTTCTTTTGCTCTAATTTCTTATAAAATGGGGGCAATATATTTGACTCATTGGATTTTTTGTAAAGTAAATCAGTGCCCTTAAAATACTTAAAATTGTGACTGCATATAATAAGTACTCTTTTTTTCTTTTTTAAAATTTTTATTTTATTTACAACATGGGGTACAATTCAAGATTAGGTAGATAAGTGGTCATCGTAGAGGTAAAATTTGGGCCTCCCTTTGGTCCTCACTTCTCCTGGTTTGAGATCAGGTACCCTTATTGATGTTATTTGCCCCCTGCCCCTTACCTCCCCTGGCTGCATCCCACTACTGCCAAATCCTTTCTTATAGTATTATGATAAATGTTCAGGGTCAACTTATAAGTGAGAACATGTGGTACTCAGTTTTTTGTTTCTGTGATAGATCACTATGCTAGACTTTAAATCTATCCAAGTTGCTGTGAGGGCCATAGTTTTGGCCTTCTTTATGACTGTATAATATTCCACATGTATATGTACTACATTTTTTTTTTAATCCAGTCCATTTTCAGTGGGCAGCATGGTTGGTTCCATGTTCCTGCTATTGTGGATAATGCTGCAATAAACATGTGTATACAGGTCTTTTTTATAGAATGGTTTGAGTTCCTCTGGGTATTTTCCTAGAAGGGGGATTGCTAGGTTGTATGGAAGGTCAATTTCTAGTTCTTTTAAAAATTGCTACATGTTTTCCACAGAGATTGTACTAGTTTACACTGCCACCAACAGTGTAGAAGCTTTCCCTTTTTCCCACATCCTCTCTATCATCTGTTGTTTTTGGAGTTATTGATGATGGCCATCCTGAATGGAGTTAGGTGGTATCTCAGTGTGGTTTTAATATGCATTTCTCTGATGATTAGTGAGGCTGAGCATTTTTAATGTATCTGTTGGCTGCCCATATGTCTTCTTTTGAGAAGTGTCTATTCATATCCTTTGCCCACTTTTTAATGGTGCTGTTTGTTTTTTTTTCTTTCAGCATTTTTGAGTTCCTTGATTCTGGATGTTAGGCCTATGTCAGATATACAGATGGTTTCTTCTGCTTTGCAGAAGTTTGTCAGTTTGCTGAGGTCCCACTTGTCTATCTTATCTCTTACGGTGTTCACTTTTAGGGATTTGATCAAGAATTGGTTGCCTACTCCAATGTGCATAAGAGTGTTTCCTGCATTTTCTTTTAAGATTCTTATAGTTAGAGGTTTTACATTTAGGTCTTTAATCCATCTAGAGTTGGTTTTTGTGTATGGTGATAGGTAGGGGTCCTGTTTCAGTTTTCTGCGTGTGGTCAGCCAATTTTCCCAGCACCATTTACTGAATAAGTTCTCCTCTCCCCATTAGTTGTTGGTGGAGGCTTTGTCAAAGATGAGTTGGTTAAGAAATTGAGGTTTTGCTTCTGGAACCTCTGTCCTGTTGCATTGGTCTGTATGCCTGTTCTTATACCAGTACCAGGCTGTTTTGATTATTGTAGCCTTATAGTAAAATTTAAAGTATGGAAGTGTGATATCTCCCGCTTTCTTTCTTTTGCTAAGGATTGTTTTGGCTATTTGTGGTCTTTTTGATTTCCATATGAATTCCTGTATTGTTGTTTTCAAGTCTGAGAAGAATGATGATGGTAATTTAACAGGTATTGCATTGAATCTGTAGGTTGCCTTGGGTAGGATGAACACCTTAACAGTGTTGATTTTTCCAACCCATGAGCATGGAATATTTTTCCATTTGTTTGTGTCTTTGATTTCTTTGAGTGATAACAGGCAATTAATTACTAGGCTCTAATAATACATAATGCATAAGTCTTACCTATTAGTATAAGCTATGGTGACTGGTGGCTTTTATCTTTACAAAAGCTTTCCTGAGCTATTGAACACAGTTTTGTTGCCAATGACAGCAAAAGTAAATGCTCCACACAACAGTTGGTCAATTAAGTGATCTGCCAACAGTACTAACCTGGTGGTCTCATCATCTCAGAGATAGAGAATTAAGTGAGCAATAAAAAATAGTATATCGGAGTCAATTATTTCTGAATTAGGAATAATTACTTTGCAAAAGAGAGGGCTAGTGGGATTTTTTTGTCTTATTTTGTTGTTTTTCTTTTGGATGCTTGGAAAGTGGGTTGTTACTGGGTTTCATTTTATCTTGTTTTGTTTCATTTTTCTAAATTAGGCAATTAGTAAAAGATTTACAGCTCCTAAGAGATACATTATTAATTAAAAGGATTTTTTAAACAAGATTTCTTTTTACTTTGTATACAACATAACATTAAGTGATAACCAAATGTTACTTATACTGATTTCTCAGTGATTTTTTTTCTTTTTCAGTCTCAAAGTCCAAATAATGAACCTTTCCTCCATCCTTGCAGCTCTTACCCTTGCCCTGATTATAGGAGGAATAGACTCATCCACATTCTAGATTCATTAATACTCAAGGTCATGCATACGGTGGGTGTCTCTGCTTCCCTAGGGATG